TATTCTACATTATCATTTATCAATAGTAAATGCATATTTTAAATAATAGTAAAGGTAAATAAAAAATGGAACGGAAATATTTCAATAATAATATCTACATCATCAATTGAAAATGGAATGAAAATTAGGTAAAAATATCACTGCATTTGATATTTTAATTGACTAATTGACTGAAAATAAAAAAGAATAATTGGCTGAAAATGAATATGATATTACTAATTAACTGAAAATATAAAAAGATAACTAATTGCGTGATATTCTACCATTATATATTTTCACCCAAGTAACCTGTCATGGTGGATTGAAGGTGTTAGCTCTAGACGAAGATGAACAAGATTGTGTTGCCACTACCAATGTTGTCTACAAAGAGGTTTCAATAATGTGTAAATGTAATTGGTGATATTAAGTTTTATTTTTTTAAATAAAAATAAAAAATTGCTATATATCTAGACAAAAAAATATATCTTCCATACAAATGAATAAGCATAGTAATTCATTTCTATAACTGAGTTGTTAGAGAACAAACACATTTGCCTAATTTATGAAAATACTAAACAATGATAAATAAAATCTTCAAAGTTATAATACCGTATGCGTACATCTAGACATTATAAATTAATTCGAGCAATTATTTACACAAATTCAAGCAATGATAACATCAAAATATATAAACGATCCAAACCATATCTTTAATTGTACGATATAAAATTTGATGTTCTAATTTAAATAATTATATATCGATTCCTATATTCATAATATATTACAACAAATTCATTCCGTGCATCGCACGGGTGCAAATACTAGTTAGTAATAATATGTATGGTATTTTATAATATAATTGGTAATATAATTAATTGGTAATAAACATATTCAGTAAACTACACGAATAACCATATTGATTTTATATTTATAATTTTAAATTTATGTCTTTTGTTTAAATTGAAAGATTTAATGGGTTTACATTCCTTTGAATATTCATTTTTTTTTATTTGTTTACCCACACCTGCATGTCCATAGGTGAAATTATAGTATTTAAAATAATATTACAAAAATAATTATTAGCTGACAATAAAAACGGCACAGAATTTAGGCCAATTGAAATACAAAATGACTATTAATAATTAACTGAAAAGTAAATTTTTTTTGAAATTGACTCAAATGCACAAAATGAAATGAATATTAATAATTGATTAAAAAATAAAAATGAAATGAATATTAACAAATTACTGAAAATATAATTTTTTTTTATGGAAACTAGGCCAATTGGAAAAGGAAATGAATATTAATAAATTACTAAAAATATAAAAATTACTGATATAAAATGCATTAATAAAAATGTAAAATGAAGTTTGCATCTCAACGTATAACCGAGATGGAAAGAAATATTTATATCGGTTATATATTTTATAAAATGTAAAGTTAGTGGAAATATAAAAACAATGTTATTAATAATTAACTAATTAATTAATATGTATTAAAAAATAATTGATTGAGAATAAAAATGACATAAAATTTATGCGAATTGAAATAGGAAATGACTATTAATAATTGACTGGAAATGAAAAATACTTCCAAACTGACTTAGTATATAGAAAGAATATTAATCTCGGTTATATATTTTATAAAATATAAAGTTACTGGAAATATATATATTTTTGAATGCTACTAGCTCTATTACATTGTAGTATGTATTGTTCATATACTTTCTCAACCTATTGAAACACAACGAGCTAATAATGCCTCCATTGAGGCTTGAACTTACAACCTTCCAAATAGAAGTCCAACCCATGTACCATTAGACCACATAGTCTTGGTGTAAAGATATATATTTAAAAATTGAAAATGAAATAGAATCATTCAGTATTCACAATTTGTAAGGAAATTTTGTAATTAAAGATGGAAAATGTTTTGCAATACGATATGGAAATATAAGATTTAGCCGAGATGGAAAGAATATTAATCGATATGAAAATTAAAATTTTTTACACAAAATGTTATTTTATACTAAGAATATAAGGATTGCGCAATTATAAGGTTTAGCCGAGTATGTCAAAAAACAAAAAGTTTAGCCGAGATGAAAAAATATTAATCTCGATTATATATTTTATAAAATGTAAAGTTAGTAGAAATATTAAAAAATATTTGTATATATGTTACTGGAAATATAGTTGTGTAAAGATATATATATATATTTACAAATGGAAAATTGAATAGAATCGTTTAGTATTCACAATTTATAAGAAAAATTGTGTAGTTAAAGATGGAAATGTTCTTGCAATACGTATGAATGATTTAAAAGAAATTAATTATGACTGATTTTGTAGCAAATCTTTATTCAAAATTACAGGACCTCATTACAATACGCATATATAAAGATGTAAAATTATGTATAGAATGTGTAAGGAAGATTTTGCTTAAAGATGGAAAACAAATTAGACGAATTGGAAAAGGTAATGAATATTAATAATTCACTCAAAATTAAATATGATCCCCATATATAATTCACTGAACACTGATATTTAAAATATCTAAAGTTTCAGCACTTAATGCGTACATCTACACATTGACTATTAATTTTGGCCAATTATTTGATCGAATTCAAGCAATTATAACATTAGAAAATACAATCGATCCAACTCAATTTATCAATTACATTATATAATATTCGATATAATAATTTATATAATTATAGATCGATTCGAATATTCTTAAAATATTTTAACAAATTCATTCCGTGCATCGCACGGGGGCAAATACTAGTTTAGTCCAAATAGTAAATGAGGAAACTTAAACATCATGGTTGGAGGTTTATAGGTACACTAGTTTTTTATGCGCATTGCGCGATTGAGATAATGCCCAATATTTTTTTAAATAAGTATTTTAAAGTATATCAATGCAAGATTATATTGGAATTGTTCATGCATAGATAATTGAAGGTTAAATTTGTGTATTTAAATAGACAATTCTAAGTTTACAAATGCAAGATAATATAGTCAAGATTGATTATAGTTGTCAATAAAATAATTGTATAGGTATGGTTGAAACCAAATACAGGACATAAGGGAGATAAAATAAAAATTAGGGCATAAATAATTAAATACTCCGTAATCCGTATATACTAATATTGAAGAGCTAACTACTGATTGCCAAACAAGGGCATTGCGAGATAGTTTCCCATTTCAATTTGTTGTGTGATTTGAATACTTTTTTTGTCAATAAATCTCCCAAGTAGTTAATATGATTGACTTAATTATATTTTTTATTTTTTTAAAATAATAATAATAATAATAATAATAATAATAATAATAATTATTATTATTATTATTATTATTATTATTATTATTATTATTGTTATATCATTTTACATGTTAATCTAAACAACTAATTTTTTCAAATATCTTTTTACCAACCATTGATATAATTCGCTGGTCAAATTCGCTAATATAATCCGCTAACGCTAACCGCTAACTGCTGATTGTCAAACAAGGATATTGCGAAGTTGTTCTCACTTCAATTTATTGTGTGATTTGAATAGTCTCTTTGTCAACAAATCCTTCAAGTAATTAATATGATTAGCTTTATTAATTATGTTTTTTTAATTTTTTCATGGTATTAATAAAATACTTGGTAAATAAATATATAGCATTATTTTGTATTATAACTTTGATATTTAATTAAAAAAAATAGTGCACAAAAAAAGGTAATAGTCAATGTGTGAATATAATTAATTGATGAATTTGAATATAAAGAATTTTTATATTGGAGAAAAATAAATACAATATATCTAATGAAATTATTTCTCTTATTTAATTTATTGATAATGAATAATTTTTTTTGAATAAAGACATTGTAGACACATAATTCTAAATTAAAAAATGATATGTATTATTTTTTGTTGTAGCTACTAAATTATTATTTTTAATTAATTTAATAAGAGTAAAATAGAGTACTAATTATGCCAACTTTGATTGGGATGAGGTTCGAACCTAAGACCTTTAAATTCTTATTAAAATCAATGAGTAAGTTAACGGTGAACTAACAGAAATTAACGGAAAAGATAATATTTAACGAAAAAGTTAACAGAAAATCACATTCATTAAGGATAAATTAGGAAATCTTAAGGAAAAATTAAAATCTGATCAATCTGAGCCATTCATTTGATTAAAAAATTTGACCGCCATTTTTTCTACCCATTATAGGCCTAACTTTTTTGAGCTCTTATTAGTATAGTAGATTTTACCGTGGATTATGTATCAAAACAGAAACAATGTACTTTATGCATACAAATAATGAATTTTGATTTACAAAATATTAGATTTTTAAGTAAAGGGGTGGAGTGTGCTGAGTATTGTTAATAGTTTAATGATTTATTTGATTTTTATTTATATATTTTTTTAAAGTTTGAATTTATGTTTATATATATATTTTTGTCAGGGCATTCAAAAAAAAATATTTTTTTTTTGTCAGGTCAGACTTCTCTTAAGGGATGAGAGTGCTTGGCTATTCACGCCAACCAAGCTGGTTATGTTTATAATCTATTTTGATGAATTTTTAATGTAAATTTATAAATGTATAATTTTTTTGAGTACTATGGACTCTATTACAGTGTAGTTACCTTGGTCCTATGACATTCCATCAAGAAGAGCCACATAAGTGTCAATTAAGCATAAAGTGCTAGACGTACAAATTTTATTTATTAACAATAAAATTAATTGTAATTAATGGAATTGGCCCAATGAGTAGTGAGTCAATCATTATTGTATGGAACATAGTCTACACAATTGTGTGGACCATACTATCAAATAATTTACCTTCAGTATACAAATAATGTACTTTTAATATATTGAAAATATATATTGTATTCATGGAAAGTACATTATTTGAGTATTAAAAATATATTATTTTATATAATATACATTCAGTACACGAATAATGTACTTTTAATATATTAAAAATGTTTTTTTTTTTTGTTATGGCCAACATGGTAATTTGACGTAGTGAGTAGTGACCCCATAAAATGGGGCGAGTATTATTCTATTCAATATCTATGGCAGGGGTGCGAGGGTATCATCGGTTTGAAATTCAAAAATGGTGCCGTTAGCCAAACTAGCAAAATAAAACCTAGATAGATAGTTAGATCTCGAATCTCAGACACGCTCTTGAAAGAGAATTGGAGTATTACAGAGATAGAGAGACGGGAAGACAATGGAAAAGAGCAAGAGTAGTAGGGTGTCAGCGATGGAGGCGTTTGAGAAGCTGGAGAAGGTGGGAGAAGGAACCTACGGCAAAGTGTATAGAGCAAGAGAGAGGGCTACGGGGAAGATTGTGGCCCTGAAGAAGACGAAGCTCCACGAGGACGAAGAAGGTGTACCTCCCACCACTCTCCGCGAGATCTCCCTCTTGCGCATGCTGTCCAGGGATCCCCATATCGTCAGGTATCAACTCTTCATTTCTCATTGTCCAGGGCTCCCTTTTTTTGTTTTTTCTTCTTCTTATTCTTTTGGACTTCAGTTTCCAGTTATTGTGATATTTCTGTCATTGCTTTGTGAGCCGAGCCGTCTTCGATTTTCATTATGTTTGTGTGTTTTGATTTCAAACTTGCGGTAGTTTGATTTTGGTTTCTGTTTCGATGGCACTCCTCTATGGTTCCTTGATTGTTGTGACTTGTAAATTCTATTTAGCGTTTTATCATTTTTACTTCCCCTTTTTCCCTCCCTATTCACATTCTCCAAAAAAATATGAACACGCACCTATGCATTAGTATTACCCAAGAAACACATCTCACTCACTGACAAATCAAAGTAAAGGGGTTTCTTATACAATATCTCACAACTATTTAGCACTTCCTCCACATGAAAGATTCTTAGGGTGTGTTTGGTTTTAGGGTTTACATCCTAATGGGAATCAAAATCATAGTTAGTTTTTGGTTGATTTTGAAATAAACTATGGGATTTGAAATACACTTAGTTTTGAAGAAAATGAGATTCTGAATTTCCTTATATTTGGTTTGTGGCTTATTGGATCTTCAATTATTGTTTTGATTGCATTAGGTGTTATAGCTCCCATTACCATTTTTCTAGCTGATTGATAATTACATTACAGATTGTTGGATATCAAACAAGGCCAGAACAAGGAAGGGAAGACAGTTCTTTATTTAGTGTTTGAGTACATGGATACTGACCTCAAGAAATTCATCCGTAGTTTCCGCCAGAACGGAGACAATATCCCTCCCAAAACAATTAAGGTATGAAAATGTGGACTTTCAAAAAAAAAAAAAAGGTATGAAAATGTGGTATTTAAGGGGTTTGACAAAATATATATTGCTCATTGATTTTGGTTTCATTGTGGTGTGAACTCTCATTACAGAGCTTGCTTTATCAACTTTGCAAAGGAGTTGATTTCTGCCATGGCCATGGTGTGCTGCACAGGTAAATCCCAGATTCTCTGGAAATTCTTATGTTCTTTACTTGACCATGTGAATTGCTTGGGACAAGTGTTCATCCATTCACTTCTCATAATTGTTGCTCCAGGGACCTGAAGCCCCATAATCTTCTGATGGACCGCAAGACAAATACACTTAAAATTGCTGATCTTGGATTGGCACGAGCTTTCACTTTGCCTATCAAGAAATATACTCACGAGGTATCAATCACTTTGTGATACATGCAAGGCTTGTTTGGCAATGCTTATAATTGTGTTGTGAGAAAGGACATTTACTCCAACTTATGGATTATTATTGTTGGTTTTATTGAGGACTACCCAACATGGACTCTAGAATAAATAAAGTGACATGAAATAATTTTGACCTTATTTTGCCCATGATGAAGTAATTAAGCCTTCATCCTTCATGGACTTTCATGACCATTCATTATTATAGGTTAATGACCCTTCATGGAAAATAAATCATTCCTCCTTTACAACTATTTTGTGGGTTGGATTGCTAATCAGTCCATCAGATCGTTATTGTCATTGGGCTTATTTGGCCAACCTGGGCTTTCGGGCTAAACAATCAATGATGGAGTATTTATTAGCTTAACAAAATATTCGTATGTAGAATAAAATTGTCAACATTTTTTGAGAATCTAGGTTAACAAAATTTAATGTTATTTTATTCAGATCTTGACACTTTGGTATAGAGCCCCTGAGGTTCTTTTGGGTGCTACTCACTACTCAACAGCAGTGGACATGTGGTCTGTTGGTTGTATATTTGGTAAAAAACCTTTCTTATCCTTTAAATCATTTCTATTTTGTTTTGAGGCACTGAAATGAAAAGTGCTAAATAATAGTCTCCTTACGTGTCACAATGCCAATTTTAGCTGAGCTAGTCACAAATCAGGCTCTATTTCCGGGTGATTCCGAGCTGCAACAGCTGTTGCAAATTTTCAGGTTAGTTAAATTGCCTGCCAGGGTTTTGATTTCTCGTTTGTTTTTTTGGTTCTGAGTCTAATGTATGTATGTATCTTAAATGTTAGATTGTTGGGAACTCCTAATGAAGAAATGTGGCCAGGAGTGAGTAAGCTAGTGAACTGGCACGAGTACCCGCAATGGAGACCCAAGCCACTCTCGTCTGCTGTCCCTAATCTGGATGGAGATGGACTTAACCTGTTGGGTGTAAGTTGTTGAGGACACAATTATATTCAATCTTGAATTCAGGCATCAAAATGAATGTTAATAATTGGAATTTTGCAGGAGATGCTGCAATATGAACCATCTAAGCGGATATCAGCAAAGAAAGCAATGGAGCATCCTTATTTTGATGATCTAGACAAGTCGTGTCTTTGATTGCCTTATATATACCAACCAACCAACTAAGTGAATGAATTCTTGGTATTCGCTTGCTTCTCTTGAGCATCAATCTCTTTGACATGACTCATTTTCATTGGGAGTGCTCATTCTCAAGTTCTAGGATAAGATAGTTTAGCTGCGAAGCGAAGTTGATTGTATCATGACTTGCCTTTTAATATGTTGTTACTATTTTTATTCACCCAACTCAAGTGTCAAAGATTTGGTGATTTTGATTCCATCTCCTATTGCATTGCTATAGTAACAGACAAACAACGTATCAGAAAAAAGAGTTAATGAATGGTTCATTAATTGCCACTCACTATAACAAATATTTTGTTTTTTATATTTTTTTGTCAGACGAGACGATGTATCATATTCAAACTCATCTTTGTTTGCACTGGATTGACCCAATTAAAGAGGAAAGTGTTGGTCAGATTGGTTTTTTCATATGAGGGGGTTCAAACTTCCGACCTCTCATGCGATTTTTTTTTTTTTTTTTTTTTTTTGAGATAAACAAATAAGCTTGTTTGTGTGCGTACAATTATGCAAATGGCTTGGGATAAAGGAATTTGGAATAATTGGGCAGACAAGCACACAACTGATTAACTCCTCCAATCATCACATATTCACATGTTTGTGGCGTGGCAAGTGGTCCAAACTGGCATATGACTGACAATAGACAAATTAACTACAGATCACTCTCGCACGTTCACCAATCATCTGTGTCTTCAAATTTGATTCCTGCTTACTAGCCTACAAAACATGAACTGTACATAATTATGGAAATGTCACATTCATTATGCTTCCAATCTGATCCCTGAGGCTACATTATTAAGAATAAATGTGTTACATAGATCTTACAATATATCAAAGAATAAGTGTAACTCCGTATAATATTAGACATTAATTTTGTTTAGTAATGCTTCCTGGATATGACTTGTTCTGACCTAGGATATTAAGGACCTCAGAACCTTTACAAATGTTTCTCAATTAATATACCTAGTTATCATTATTTGGTCATTACACATTGATAAACAACAATTTAGTTGGGAATCTTGCTCACGAAGGAAAAACTCCTTGTTCCTGGGCCCTCACACCCCTCCTAGCCAAAGGAATTTGTGAAGTTGGTAGCTGTGATTCATTGGGTGAGAGGACCGGCGTCTAGTACCCACCAAGAGCCCATCACATTGGGTATAACTCCTACACTGCGACTATCAGGGTTTGATCTTGCATTAGTCCACAACCTATCACCTAGGAGCTAATTGAGTTACCCGTGTATACTATCTCCAGAGGAAGGATGATACGTCATAAAAGTATGGTTATTTTTACAATATCAATCTACCCAACAAACAGTCTTAAAGCATAATTTGATAAAGAAGGTTTTACCCAACACAATTGGATTAATTATTAGTATTCAGCATAACCTAATCAACAATGACAGCAGGCAGGGTCGGTGATTAAACAAAATAGGAAAAAGGGTCAAACAGGTTTATTAACCCTTTCAAAACAAGACTACTGTACGGTGCGGTGAATAAGGCAATCACACATTTAACACACACAACCAAGAACCAACCTTGTGTACAGTTTTTTATAACAAGCACACAACAATATCATTCATTCTTCGCTGCTATTTTTTGTGCAAACCGCAAACCATAAGAGCAGAGAGAGAACAAACAATAATAACCTTGCAAAGCATCTTCCCAACGAATATAGAGTACCAACCACCAATTACATTTAAAACTTAAAACCAACAAAAAATAAGAACGATAATTGAGACTCTCTATGCAGACAGAATGATACAGATACTACACTGCTTGTGATCGCAATATATGGCCACAAGTCAGTAGGGTAGCTTCTTCTATCAGGTACACAGAATAATAATAATAATAATAATTGGGTGCAACTTTTTCTTGCTTCACATGGCCAATGTCTGCTCACTTACCTGTATCTACCTACAGATTCAAACACTCCTTTCACAATCCATTTGCGTTAACAACTCATCGGGCACTTCTTCAGTCACATCCATTTGTGTTAACAACTCATCGGGCACTTCTTCAGTCACATCCATTTGCGTTAACAACTCATCGGGCACTTCCCCAGCCACATCCTTGCTTGATCTATTGTATTTCATATGACTGTTGACAAGCTGACCAGATACAATAGCAGCCATCAACGACAGTTCCCCGGCCATGACTGAACCAGCAACAATGGTTGCCAGGAGCCTCGAGTTTGACCCTGGTGATTCATTGCATGCACCTTTCACACCCAGCAGGTTTAGGCAAGCAGATTGAGAAGCAAGATGAGTCCCTCCACCAATGGTGCCAACCTGGACAAAACAATTTCTCAATCTTCACACTGCTAATACCAAATATATGTTGTTTCCAGTTAAAGCGCAAACCCACATAGTGCAGCTGTCTCTTATACGAAACAACATGAGAATTTAATAACTCTACACTAATACTCAACCAGATGCAAGTCAAATAGTCCCATCATTAAAAAATATAAACTTCTGTAAAATTACAATACCTCAATGGAAGGCATGGTCACAGAGATGTGAAGATCCTTCCCATCATTCACAGCCTCCATCATAGTAATGCACTGAGAACTTTCTATATTTTGTGCTGGATCCTGTCCAGTAGCTATGAAAATCGCAGAAACAATATTGGCAGCATGTGCATTAAAACCACCAAGAGCACCAGCAAGAGCAGAGCCAGTAAGGTTCTTAAGCATGTTAAGCTCTACAAGGGAACTAACAGTGGTTTTTAGCACTTTCTTCACCACTTCCGCAGGAATGGTTGCCTCACAGACAACTGACTTTCCACGCCCTTCAATCCAGTTGACAGCAGCAGGTTTTTTATCAGAGCAGAAATTTCCTACACCATGGGATGGATTATATAGTCAGGTAGAGATTAAAAAAATGAAGTCAAAACATAACCGCTCAAAGGTATACAGCAATAAGTGACTCAACCAGCACGCACATATTTCCCAAAGAAAAAATCACCATGACATCCCCAAGTCTTACAGTATCATTCTTTTAAAAAAAATGTCATATAGTCCTCACCAGAGATACCAACAACATCCATGTCTGGGAACTCAATTTCAAGAAAATCCAGGACATGCTGAACACCTTTAGACACCATATTCATCCCCATTGCATCACCAGTGCTGCAGCTAAGTCTTATGTAAAGATTTTTCCCAGCAATTGAGCACTTAATAGTTTGAAGTCTAGCAAATCTGCTCGATCTGTACATAAAGACAAGGATGATAGTGTGAGCCAAAAAACCTAAAATATAAACTGAAACAGTCACTAGAATGAAAATATCAAAGACATAGAAATTAATAATAATCCAGCAAGAGAAATCCATCAAGTCAAAACATCAATCTCAACTCTCAAGTAAAAAGTTCTCTTATTTCAATCCACTGAAAAGTTAGATATTTTCAAGGTGCAAAGACAAGAAGACAAGTTCACCCAAGCAAGAAACAAGGTTCTTGAGCTTCATTCACTCTATAATTACACAGAGACAGTAGTAAATTGTTTTCCTATCAATCTGTTTTATGAAATCTGCATAGGTGGTGTTACATGAATTGTATATTAAAAAAAAAAAAAAAAAAAAAAAAAAAAAAAAAAAAAAAAAAACTAAAAGAAAAACGTGATTCTATTTACTAGACCCCCCATTTTACTAATCTGAATTTTCAATTCAAAAAATGTGAAACCGAAGGCTCAGGGCCATATTCACTGATCTGCCAGAGCCGCTGATTTATTTCAATGCAACCAAACTGGTCCATCTTGGACCTGATAAACCACCGTCAAGATGTTGAAACATAAATCATTGGAAGCAATCTTAAATTGTTTTGTCAATATTTTCGATTCAATCTGAAATTCTAATTTCTGGGTCAAAATTGACAAGTCAAGGTGCCAGCATTTATGTCTTCTTGCAAGCTCAATTGATGGGCTACTTTCTCTTGCCGCTGGGGAGAGTGCTTCCTCTGAAAATTTTTCAATCAAACAATCAAGGATCCTTCCAAATAGTTGTGTATTTGTTCAAGACAAGAAACAAAGCCACTTAACTGTTAGGCATGGTTATCAAGGCGGACTTTCTGCGCGAGATGCCACCGACCGCCTAGTCTACTAGGTGATGAGTATTAAATAAATATCTTGTCTTGGGCAGCCCTATTTACTTCAAGTTGCCTTGAGAGGAATAGTTTTTCCTAGAGGAGTGAGATGTCTAATATTTATTGTATTTATTGTGCATCTTTCCAATGTCTTCTTTAGACCTATATATATGGTGTATAATTTGGAGTATTCTAAGTAACGAATAAGATAAAGTAGAGCCACTAAGAAATAAAGAAGAATGAAATCAGAAAGAAAAAGAAAAAAGAAAGGCCAGTCGGCCAAGAAGAAAGAGGAAGAAAGAAGGTCAGTTGGCCAGCCAGTCGGCCAAGAAGAAAGATAGGCGAGTTTGCGACGGCTACGGCGATTCGGCAGTGGAAGGGTGAGGCGCGACAGCCCAAGCTCGCTGCGCGAGGCGACCTTGTTAGGTGTCCGGTCTCCACCAACCGAACGCCTAGGCAACGCCTTGATAACCATGTTGTTAGGCATGACCAAACACTGTAGTTTGATTATTAAAAGGTCGTAAGGATGTTAAACTTGAAGGATTATCAAGGGATGCCATTAACTAGGACAGAGATATAGTCACTACATTTGGATAATTGGAAAGAAGTCAAAGAAGTCAAAAGTGATTTCCACTTAAATGTCAAGGAACAGCTGTGGTGATACAGTGCACAGATTTATCTATTGGCTTGTTTGAAAAGGAAATAAGAAACATTTTGTTGCCTTTTTATGCATGTAGAGCAATGTTTAAAAAGGCGGTTTTGAGCCACACCTCAGTTTGAGGAGGTCCAGTTACGCTCAGAGGCAATGCGATGCAGTTTCGAGGCATTTTTTGAGGTGGTTTTGATGTTTCGGGCTACAACTAGTAGGCCCAAATTTTTTTTCATTCAATAGATTTAAAGCCCAAACAACCTGAACTCTAATAATAGTCAAAGAAGTAAAAAGAAATCAGAAAGAAACGAGAAAACCAGTGACCTCAAACCTTTGCGACCTTAGCGGCTTTGAACCTGGGCAAATTGTGACCCAGCATTTTCATGGCAATTGGCAACGTTCGCGATTAGCAAGCGTTCGGCAACCTTGTGTTTGTTTGAACTTTAATCTTGGATTGTGATGTTCATGTGCTTGTTTGTGTGTTTGAACTTTAATCTTAATACTAAAAATGTGCCATGTGTTTAGTATTTTATTAAGAATTTTAATGATGCTTATTGGTTTTGATTATATATTTAGTTGGTATTTAAATTTTAAAAGTTTTTATTGGAATTTTTTGGGTACACTTCGAGGTTTATGCCTTGCCACTCCAATACAAAATGCCTTGAGGCCCATTACTGCCTTTTTAAACCTTGATGTGGAGATTAGTCTTTCAATGAACTACTGTGCCTAATGTGGTAACTTTTGGAACTGTATTATAGGCTATAATTTTGAATGGCATATTGGATTACTTGTGGAGTGTTTACAGTTTGAACACAAAAGATGTCTATAGGTCTGGAGACTAGAAGAAGAGGGGGAGTCAGGGACTAGGGAATTGTAGCAAAAAGTTCATTTAATCATTTTCATGGAGTTCAAAAATCACAATCACTGGGCATTGAGAAATGGTTAGAAACTACGGAGTAATTCAGAAGAATCCATCTGAACAGAGCTCTTTACACCGGAGAGCCTTGTCTCAGTTAGGAGCTTCAAACACTCTAGGAAAACTGGCATGGAGAAGCTCAACACCTCAACTACGTGATGTTGAAAACGAGAGTTTGAGAACTCTCCCAAGTATTTTTACTTTCAGCAGCTACATATGATTGGCCAGATTTCACATGAAGTTACGGCCATTACTTTATATATATCACAATATATGCTATCAATGTGCCAATTGTAAAGCAGAGCCAGAAACCAAAATGGATAATTGTTCCACTTTCCAGCAAGCCTCACAACATACCTTATCAAGCTGCATTGGATGTGATTGAAATTTGGATGCTAGACGATACTATAATTAACCAACCAACATATATCAATGTCAACAACTCAGCACATTATGCAATTCAAACATCCTTAAACGCAACTATTTAAATTGAAACCAAACAAATCGTAAGGATGCTAAAGATGGTGTGGAAGAATAAACCTAGAGAAGAAGAAAAAAAATCACGAACTTTACCTATCAAAGAAATAAAGAGTGAGAGAGGGGGGAAAAGGAAAAAGGGCTTACTTGTTGAAAGCCATAGCCAACGTCTCAAAATTAAGAGGATCCTCCAAGAAGAACTTCAAATCCGTTGCCCTCTTTGCCGTCGGAAACCTCACTACAGGAGCTCTAGTCATACCATCTTTCATAAGAACACAAGTCGCTCCCCCAGAAGCATATATGGCTTTGCAACCTCTGTTGGCACTCGCGACCAAACACCCTTCAGTCGTCGCCATAGGCACAGTGTACTCACATCCGTTGAGCAACAGCGGCCCAGCAACGCCAACAGGGATCTGCACATATCCTACTGGCATTTCACAGCACTGCCCCAAAATTGATTCGTAATCCAATCCTTCCAGAGGTAGACCGGAAAGAGACTTCCCCGTCAGTCTCTGCACTGCCTCACGGCGAATGGACGCTGCTTTGTAACAATCACCGAGCCTGGATTCCAGCGAGTAGATTGAGAATTCACCGGAAACAACCTTTTGTACGACTTGTTCGTCCTCTGCGGAGGGAAGAGGAATCTGGTGAAGATCCATTACTTTAGAGATGGCAGTGGGAGTGGGAGTGGGAGTGGGGACGACGCAATCGAGGGAGGCCTGGCAAGGGCCATGTCGGCGATCCTCGTCGATAATGAAGCGGGGGTCACTCTCGCCTTCGACATCCCAAGCGTCGTGAGAGGCACGAGCAATGAAGGACTGGACAAAGTCAATTCCGAAGAAGCCGAGGAGATAGATGAAGGAGGCTATGAGGGAGACAATGGCGGCGAGTTCGGAGAAAGTGACGACATGGAGAGGGGTAGAATTGCGGATCTTGTCGCGCCAGCGGTGGAGAAGGTAGTAGGCAACGGAGAAGAAGAGGGTGAAGAAAATGCCGTTAGTCAAGTAGAGAGGGAGCGGGAGAGCATCAGAGGCCTTAGGGGTAGGTGACGGAGACCGATCGACGGCGGCCGAAGCCTTCCGCTGAAGGTGGTGGTGGGGGTGGTCGACGGCGGGTTTCTGAGGTCTACGGCGGATGTCCATGAGGGAATATTCCGGCAGGGAGGGGACAAAGTATATAGACCGAAAGAGAGAGAGAGAGAGAGAGAGAGAGAGCGAGGGGCCTTCGCTCCGTACTCCCTTTTGTTAAAAAAAATAAATGTTTGATTCGGAAGGGAATGGATGGGCGGCGAAATCGGGATGGATACAGGCCCTATTTATGCCAATTTTCTTACATCAAATCTCCT